ATAGTAGTAGTAAAAGTAATAATAATAATAACAATAACAATATGATAATAATTACAATGAAAATGATATTATTACTATTCATAATAATAATGATAATAACCATCCTTATCATCATGATAATGTTAATAATAATAAAGTTCACTTATATAGGTATAGTACATTTCTACCAATTTTAAAGATGTGATAAAAGCAACTTGATGTGACAGAAATATAATGAATTATAAGGCGAAAAAAAGGTTATTGAAAGAATTCATATCATATTGAATAATGTGTTGATGACATGTTTGATTTTTTGGAGAAATATGACAAAAATCGCCTTTATCCATCCAGACGGCGGCCTTTACTGCGAAGGTGCTTTGAGATCAACACCAGTTTTGTGCTGCGTAACTACCAGCGATGTCTGCGTCTGATCATGGGTCTGGACTCACCTCTCTGTCTGCTGGCAGTCAACCCGCACCTGCACAACCTACGCGTGTGAGTTATGCTAGTTGTCACTTGGGCTATATTTAGTAAATTTTCTTTTCTTTTCTTTTCTTTTCTTTTTCCTTTTTTTGGCTCAACACCTTTAGGAACATTTAAAAACATATTTTGTGTGGATTTTACTGAAAATCATTGATTCTATGTCCATCTAAGAGCTTATTTCTGTGTGGATTTTACAATTTTAAAAAACAAACGATGATAAAAGGCACAGAAAATGTAAATTTTCAGTTTTCACGGACTCTCAAGCTATGGAAATTACTAAACTTTGGCTGCTATTTTCTCGATAATTTTACCTCTGAAATCAGGTGACCCCCACCTTCTTCAATCAGAAATGTCTGGACTTCTATTCAAGACAGATCAGTATTGTTTTCATCCAATGCAAGAGAAATGAACAAGCTTTACGATTATATTATTTTCTCCTTATACCCAAAAATTGATGAGCACCTGATACCAACGTGTCGATATTTTATCTTTCAGAACTGTAATTTATCTTTTAGAGACATTTTTATTTCTCAGAAAGTATTTTATCTCTCAGAAACATGTTTTATCTATCAGCAACTGTATTTTATCTTTCAGCAACTACCTGCAGATCCTGTCATCTGGCTACAGCGTGAAGAACTGCCGCTACCCCATGCGGCAGTTACAGAACGTCCTTCACCTTGAGGGCAGTGACGCTGTGGTCAGTCTGTGTTCCCAGTGCTGCCTCCTTGACCTCTTTGACCGGCCCGACAGCGACAGCGTCTGCTTCAGCAAAACTGCTTTCCGCAGGCCGGAGAAGTTAGGGGTACGTATTTTCGAATCATTTTCTTCGGTTTTAGAAAGAGTTTTACGGCACTTGCAGCACCTACAAGTGTGTGTGTGTGTGTGTGTGTATGTGTGTGTGTTTGTACACGTGGTGAAACACCTAACCAATGTGCCAGGATCTGGACAATAAAGATGTATCTTATCTTATCTTAAGTGATGAAGATTAGAGGTATTACTAGAGAGTGACATACAAGAGCAGAAGGGAAGTTAACAGTAATGAGCCACAACTAGCAAAATGATGAATCAGATGAATGAGATCCTGATGAAAATATTGAAGCAGGCAATTCAGATATGTCTAGAGGGCTGCAAGTCTGAGAGAAAGTGAAAGTGATGGGTCTGACATCCTGACTGAAGTAAAGTGAGAACATTTCCAAGATCCTGCGCGTATAAAGTTATATTTCTTCTGAAACTACATTCATTTCTCTTTCTAATTATTATTTCTTTTTAAAAAATTTGAATTCTTTTAGTAATATTTCTAAAATGGGTTTTTTAAAAAATACTTGTATTCATGTGAGGTGAGTTACCTCCCCTTACTTAGGAATTGAGAATAGACCTGCTGTCCAGTGCTGTGTTCATCAATGTTTGTGTGTCTGCCTAAAGAAAGGTACCAAAAGACGGATTTTGACCATTTTGAGTTAAGGGTTGTACCTTATAGGAAATTCAATGCTGAACACAGGGGTTTTTTAATTTTTTAGATAGCTCAAATAGTTTTTTAGATAAATTACACATTTTGAGAGGTATGGTATAAATATTTAATTTAGAGAAAATTAGCTTTTATGTTTAGGACACATACAAACTTAAAAATAACGATGATTCAATTAATTGTTTCTAATGTATTTATTCATGGAATATTCATTTCCAATTTGGCATTCAGTTGACATCAATATCATGATTAGAATTCAATGGTAATACAAAGCGGGGAAGAGAAAAAATGCTTCAAGAATAGATTTTAACACTTTCTAAAAAGCAGTTTTCATTATCTCTTTAAAAAATACCCTAGTCTTAAGATAATTTAAAATAAAATATTAAGAAGTCAAATTTGTGAAAGGCGGTGCCACTGACTGTAGACCATTCCCAAAGGGGCACATTTTTAGTTCAAGCACAGTAGAATTGTAAATGGGCTGACTCATGTCACGCTCATAACTGTGCCTGATCTACAACAGAGAACTGCTGCTTTTTCTTTCCTTATCCTTACTATTGTGATTTTCCTCTACTTCTTTTGTATGTTTGTCTCTCTCTTGTGACCCGCTATTTCCGGGGTGCCTTGATAGTTGAAGTAGACCTTGTGCTGTTGAAGTTAGAGAGGTGAGCAGAGTAAGTCTGATTCCCTGTAAGAACTTCTCTGTTGACACCCACCCCTTGACGTTCATATGACCTTATGCAGTTGCGAGCGCCGTAAAACCCTCCACTAAAAAAAAATAATTTATGAATACCCTTTTAACACATTGTTAAAAAATGGTGGAACTATCATTTTTCTATGGAAACACATTTTGGTCAAAAAAGTGATTATTGTCATTATCAGCCTTTAGCTCAAAATGGTCTGTGGCGACTTTTGGTACCTTTCTTTAGGCACACACACATTTACTTGTTCTAGCCTAGTTATGTCGTTCTTCAGCTTGTTGAGCCACCTTCGGAATGTCAGAAATGCAGTTGCACTGCGATCGGCTCTAAATTTTGTTCCAGTATCAAAAGGAAAAAGATATTTTGCAGTAGCTATATATATAAAACGAAATCTCAGTCCCGGAGTCTCATCAAGGGCTGACTCTGTTTCTAAAGACGCTTTGTCTGAGTGGGCGATTTCAGGCAGTTCATCAGTGTCCCTGTTCCCGGCGCGCTCATATGACCTTATGCAGTTGCGAGCGCCGTAAAAAACTTACCCAAAAAAAAGTCCCTCTTGTAAGAAAAATGTGTACAGAAACTCCTGTTTAGCCTTGCTTTACACAGGGTGAATAGAAATTAACTAAGGAAGCAGTAGGAGGCTAGGAATACTGAGACGGAAGCTGGAGTGTTGGGAGAAAAAAAAAAGAAGTAAATTTCTGAAGAGAAACTTTCTTTTTTATTACATAATTATTGTATCATTTCATTTTCTTCTGTGGACATAATTCCCCAGTACCCTTTAAGAAAGTCTGTTTTATTCTAGTTTTTTTACAAGCATTTTGGTGATGAAAATTTAGTGCAAATTTGTTTATCTAAACCTCTTCCCCCCCCCCCCCTAAAAAAAAATTCAGTATTTCTGTTTGTTCTTGGATCCTCAGAAGAAAATGGCAGAAATATCTGGGGTCAATAGAAGAGAATGGAAAGAATATCTGGGGTCAATAGAGGAGAATGGAAAGAATATCTGGGGTCACTAGAGGAGAATGGAAAGAATATCTGGGGTCAATAGAGGAGAATGGAAAGAATATCTGGGGTCAATAGAGGAGAATGGAAAGAATATCTGGGGTCAATAGAGGAGAATGGAAAGAATATCTGGGGTCAATAGAGGAGAATGTGAGAAACACCTGGGATCAAGGTCAATAGAGGAGAATGAGAGAAACACCTGGGATCAAGGTCAATAGAGGAGAATGAGAGAAACACCTGGGATCAAGGTCAATAGAGGAGAATGAGAGAAACACCTGGGATCAATAGAGGAGAATGAGAGAAACACCTGGGATCAATAGAGGAGAATGAGAGAAACACCTGGGATCAATAGAGGAGAATGAGAGAAACACCTGGGATCAATAGAGGAGAATGAGAGAAACACCTGGGATCAATAGAGGAGAATGAGAGAAACACCTGGGGTCAATAGAGGAGAGAAACATCTGGGGTCAATAGAGGAGAATGAGAGAAACACCTGGGATCAATAGAGGAGAATGAGAGAAACACCTGGGATCAATAGAGGAGAATGAGAGAAACACCTGGGATCAATAGAGGAGAATGAGAGAAACACCTGGGATCAATAGAGGAGAATGAGAGAAACACCTGGGGTCAATAGAGGAGAATGAGAGAAACACCTGGGATCAATAGAGGAGAATGAGAGAAACACCTGGGATCAATAGAGGAGAGAAACATCTGGGGTCAATAGAGGAGAATGAGAGAAACACCTGGGATCAATAGAGGAGATTGAGAGAAACACCTGGGGTCAATAGAGGAGAGAAACATCTGGGGTCAATAGAGGAGAATGAGAGAAATATCTGAGTGGAATATTTCGTGTTATTGGGGCAGACTAGAGCTGTGTTCACACGCGAGTGGGCACTATAGAAATGATCTACATTATTATTATTAGATTTTCAGCTTCATTCTCAGTTCTCCCAGGCCTCTGTGCGCTGTTTTAAACAAATGTGATATGACTATAGCCACTTTCCCCTGTCAATAATTCCCAGTTGTCCTGTATTCTTTTCTTCAGCCTCCCTCCGGTCTCGCCACGTTGGATCGTCTGCTGGCCAGGTGCTCTGTGTCGTCGCTGCTGAGAGGTCCTGCTGCCAAGTTGGCCGGTGTGACGACCCAGGGGAAGGATGGTGTGGGGAGGGGCAGGGGGCGGGGTAGGGGGAGGGGCCGGGCACGGAGAAAGAATGAGGAGGAGACGTGAAGGGTGGTTGGGTGTGTGGATACTTTAAAAAAAACTTTTTTCATTCTCTGTTGCCGTTGAGAACGAGGGGAGATGGCATGGGGCGGGGCATGGGGGAGGGGCTGGGTGCGCGGGGCATGGGGCAGGGGCTGGGTGCGCGGGGCATGGGGCAGGGGCTGGGTGCGCGGGGGAGGGGCTGGGTGCGGAGAAAGAATGAGGAGGAGAGGTGAAGGGTTGCTGAGTGTGTGGGTAAATTTTTAAAAAACTTTTTTCCTCCTCTGTTGCTGCGGAGCGTTGAGGGGAGGGGGCGTGGCAGGGGGAGGGGCCGGGCGAGGAGAAAGAATGAGGAGGGGACATGAAGGGTTGCTGAGTGTGTGGATGGTTTTTAAAACTTTTTTTATCTTCTGTTGCTGCAGAGCGTTGAGGGGAAATGTAGTTTTGTATGGCAGGCCAACTCTTTAGCTCTTTCTGTTGAAATGTAGGGGTTTCTTTGTTTTGTTTTGTTATGTTTTTGGGGGGGGTTTTGTAAGTTTTTTTTTACGGCTTTCGGAACTGCATAAGATCATAATATGTAGTTTGTAAGGGTTCCCTTGGGTCTGGCAGTGAGTGAGTTAAGATACAGGAGCTAAGGCAATAAAGAAGGAGGGGAGATTAGGACGACAGATGTTTGACAGGAAAGAAGGAGTAAATCACACAAGAGCACGTGACAACCACCCACTTACATAGTTCGGACATCTGTCAAGACTACCAGCAGACAGTACAGCAGCGAGAGTGTACAAGCAGAGACCAGATGGAAACAGAAGAAGAGGCAGACCCCGCTAGGAAAAGATGGAGAGACAGGGTGAGAGAAAACAGAGAAAAGCGACATAGCCATGCAACTGGCGATGCAACAGACTAGAGAAAGACGTTTGCCTCTCCCCTCCACACCGTATGGTAACATTTGGCTACCTCAAAATTACAAAGTTCTATGTGACATTTTTGGATCCTTTTCAGTTACTATGACAGTGAGGTCAAAAACCAAATGTTCTATCTGCTCTATCAAAATTGTAAGATTATTTGGAGCCGTTATCAACTTTTTCAAAGAATTGCATTAAGAAATGATTGACGTCATGTGAAACTTAAAATTTTTTACGTCAAATTTCTCAGAACTAGGTACTGAGCAGATACAACGTTTTGTTTTAGTTTTAGTAAGGTTTTAGGGTGCTCACAACTGCATAAGGTCATATGAGCACCAAGGGGTGGATGTCAACAGAGAAGTCCTTACAGGGAATCAGACTTACTCTGCTCACCTCTTTAGCCTCAACAGCACAAAGTCTGCTTCGACTATCAAGGCACCCGGAAATAGTGGGTTACAAGAGTGTGGCAGACATACAAAAGAAGTAGAGGAAAATGACAATAGTAAGGATTAGGAAGGAAAAAGCAGCAGTTCATTGTTGCAGTTCAGGCACAGTAATGAGCATGACATTGTTGGATCAGCCCATTTACAATTACAATTCTTTCTGGTCCAGACGATGTCATTGTAGAGAGGCTGCACTGTAATTATTGCGTTTTTGAGAGTCTGGTTCTTGAGTGTGGAAACCTGTTTATGTACAGAAAAATATGCTTTCTCTGTTTCTTTGTAAAACTTTCAAGACTGGATTTGTGAGTTATAGTGAGAATGAAGCCTGTAATCTGCACTTACATGTATATGGCCTTATTGTGTTGCAAGTGCCATAAAATTCTTGCTAAAACTAAATGAATCCTTCAAGTTAGTGGTGTCCCTTACCATTTCTCACATTATTGTTGATGTCTGGGTTTTTTTTATGTAAGTGTGGGTGGTTTGTGGGTGCTCTGGTGAATGGGGTTTGCTTCTTCTTTCCTGTCAAACATATATCGTCTTTATCTCCCCTCCTTTTTTGTGTTTGTTACTCTCTTGTAACACCTTTAATAATCTTCGGCACTTACATGACCTTATTGGTCTGCAAGTGCCGTCAAACATTTACTAAAACTAAAACTGAAATGTAAGTGCTTTTGCGCCACCATTGACACAATTTAGATCAATTAGGAGGAAGACTTTTGACAGGGGCTGAGAGAGAATCAGAGATACAACATCCCAGCAGAAAAACCGAGATACTCGATAAAAATTCTCCCCTCTCAGGAATCGAACTCGGGTCTCCTGCATCATGTAGTATTTTCTTATCATAAAGAGAATGGACAACTGTTAGTTTTAATTGAACGTGTAACGCTCCCTTTCAACAAAACTTCGGAGAAATAAAATTCCACCAGGGGGACGTCACATTTGTCAATCTGGAGAAAATCCCATCATCTCCTCCTCAAACTTTTCCACTTTTTCAGCATGGAGAGACACCCATCGTCTGATGTGACAGTCGCAGTTTTTTACCACTCTACTCCTGAACCCAGGACATGCCGATCGCGCCCCTGTAGCTGAACGCTTTTTTAAGAAGTAGGCCAAATATTTTGCGTTTGACCCAATTTTGGTTGAAATTGTTACAACTTGATATTTCTACGGCGCGTTGATTTGATTTTCTTCATATTTGCGAATTTATTGTTTGCTTTGTTGAATTTTATTTGTTCCAAGTTTTGTTGGAATTATTGATGAGAGGACTGAGTTGTTGCTCTTTATGATGTTATGTGGGTCTTTTGTGTCTTAGATACCTTGTACAGTGCAGCCTTTCTATAACGATATCGTCAAGACCAGGAAAAAATGCCTTTATAGAAAGTTGTCGTTATAGAGAGGCTACCAAAAATTACTATTGATGTATAATAAAAAGGAAAAAATCGGGACCTGGGCACCATGTCATGTCGCTATACAGAGGATGTCGTTATATCAAAGGTCGTTATAGAGAGGCTGCACTGTGCATGCCAGTGGCACCCTCCAACCACCCTCCAATTCATGCGTCTAAGTCTATAGACTGAGGACAGATTTTTATGTTGACTGACTGGGGAAGCTGGCATGAGCCAACACTCAAGACTTTGAGTCATTTAGTTGCACACTTGTTTCTGTCTTGTAAATAAAATATTTGTGAGATTTGCTGGCAAAAAGTTTTATTTCTTGCTATATAAAATATATTATTATATGGTCGCTTGAAAGCACAAGGGGGCAATCCCAAAAATGCTGTTTTGAGAAAATCAAAGAGTTTTTGGACCCTTGTTCAGTTTCTTTAAAAGACAAGGAGAGTTTTCTCTATAACCAAACAAATATACACACATCAATGAAACCAAACTTCTCCTATAGGTAGGGCAATGTCCACTTTTGGTGTATCTCAAGATTTTTGTAAACCCCCGAAATCTGGGCTAGCCCGCTTGTCCTTAAAAGCGACCAAATATTTGTGAGGCTTGCTTGCAAAAAGTGTTTATTTTTTGCAATATTATGTATAATATGTGTCACGACGTGGTGGTATCAGGCGCTCATCTATTTTTAGGTATGTAAAGTTATTGGTATGGCCTTAAAGCATGTACATTTGCCTTGCTTTCGATAAACGAAATACCCATTTATCTTGAATACAAGTTCAGATATTTGCAATTGAAGGATGTGGAGGTCGCTTGGTTTCAAAGGTAAAATTAGCGAGAAAATGGCCATTGGCCTTTTCAAAACCGAGATTTCTGTTAGGATCAACGATGAAGAACAGATCCTTCAATTTTGTACATTTTAATAAAATGCTTCCTTCTACGGGTTTCTCCAAAGTCTGGACATTCTGTTAAGATTCAGATGTGTCTGATGGTGAAATCTGTCTCCTATTCGACAGAGAACGGTTTCTCACCTCCCTGTAGCTTTAACCCTATCTGTACGTCGTGTTTTACTCTCGTATCCATACGACATGGGGAACTCTGTGCCACCACTTTCCAAAGAGGAAATTTTACTCGTTAATCCGATCCGTGCGCTTTGCATAGCAGTCTGTCAAAATGATTTTTAGAGAAATACTGAATGTTTCAAAGAGATCTTCGCACTACAAGTATTCTAAAATGTGAAGAATACAACCCCGGGGGTACAAAATGACTGCAGGGAGTACCGATAGGGTTAAGGACAAAGCACAATGATTTATGTGAGTTGCAACAAACTATAAATAAACACAATTACATTTACTTACTTCTTGTTTGACTTGGGTCGTAACACTTGTGTGTATGTGTGTGTCCATGTGTATGTATGTTCTTGTGTGTGTGTGTGTTCGTGTGTGTGTGTTCGTGTGTGTGTGTTTGTGTCCGTGTGTGAGTGTGTATGTCTGTATGTGTGTGTGTGTGTGTGTGTGTGTGTGTGTGTGT